GGAGATACATTTTAAATCAAGGCATATGAAAAGATTCTGTGGTAATTCGTGGAACAATAAGAGGAAATTTCAACTCAACGGAGAAAGAACTAGTCAATATAGCGTCACAAGTGTCAAATATCTCATGGGGGTGACCTTTCATTTTGTGGAATCTACACCAGTAAACTTGTCACGGAGATAATTCCGACCTGCTGTAACACTGATTCAATGATGAGTCATCTGAAAGACAAGGTATAAAAAGCACCAAATATTTCTTTATTACTCAACATTCTTAGCTCTTACGCCTGGGCGTGGAGCCTGAAAAAGAGACACGAGGTAAGTTTATCACAACTGTCGTGGTTATCAAACATTGCGGCTAAAAATAAAACACCAATGTTAGCCAAGTAGTCCTGCAAATTCTTTGAGGTAAGTTAAACAACTGATGTGATCTTGTTTCCTTTTTAAACAACGATTAGGGGTTGACATATCAAACATCAAACGTCAAAGACCAAGGCCAGCCAAGGTAAGTTCATTCACTGTCGCCATCCTGTTTTTCTTCGAGGGAGGCGATTTAATGTAGAGTTATAAAATTATTTGGCCAAAAGAAAAAAAAATATAAAGGTTAGCAATGGAATCTTGTAAAATTTCAAAATGTCACCAATTAATTTGGGGCATTATTCCCATATGGGCCAGGTTGTTCACATTCCGGGTTAGGAACCTTTGTTGTCCCAGAAAAACATATTTCAAACAGTTTTGCTGTTTTTCTCGTGTTTATTTCAGTTATTTCCTGACTCAAGAATGATACAAAAATGGTACAAATTTAAAGATAGCCTAAATATGCGCCCTGCTGACGGAGAGAAGAGTGATTGGGAAAAAATCCAACCACATATTACTTGCTAACGTCTTCCAGATTAACTCTTAAGAGCCTTATTATCTTTCTTTGACGAGCTGAAATACCTCTTACAAAGGATTCTACACGGTTGAGAGCCTGTTCTTTTCCGTTCAAAGTAAAGTAATATTGCCTAAACTTTAAGTTTAATTGTTTTACGTTATGTTTTTCTACTGACTTCTCGGCCTTTTAGACTTTTACGCGTGGGTGTTTTGAAGATTTAAGTGGTAAGTTTATTCTAAGGAAAGAACCTGCCTCGATTGCTTCTTGATTCTTGTAGAATTTCTTGATTCTGGGGAAGTTTCTTCTTACTATAACTTTCATAGCTTTCCTTTCTAGGTCTTTCTTCTTTTTTTCTCTCCCCAGAAGGAAAAAGCTTCAATCGATGTTATTGGTGAATGAGTAAATTTTCCCCTTCAAACACTTGATGAATGTTGTTGATACAAACGATGCAAAGATGACTGAGAATCATGGAACCTTTATTTCTTCAACAAAAATAATGGAGTTAATTTAGAACCAGAAATATTCTTTTTCGTTTCATTTTGGTGCCTAGTTTGATTCGGAAAATCACCTTGTGAGGTGGTTTGACACTTTTCTACCAGTCACTTCATTGAGTTGGGAGTTAGAGATCCCTCTCGATGAAACCCTGGTGAACTTTTCCAGTTTCAACTCACCCTGAGGTTCATTTTGTTCTTTAGTCCTATTAATTCGGGCATCATTCAGTCATTGATTAACCGTTAAAACTGACGCGTATTTTCGTTCTTTATTTCCATTTAAGTTTTTCGAGAGTTGTTGCGTGTTTATCCATGAAGCATTCATCAGTCAAAATATGCTCAAAATGTTATTTTGGTCTGTTTTTACGTTAATAGGTTTATTTCACTGCCGTATCACAAGAGCAGTCCCCCGAAGGTCATTGGTCCAAGAACTTCGCCGCTCTTT